GGGTTAAGGAATGAAGTTAGTAAATGGGTAGAAATAAGAACTGCCTTCTTTCCATAATTTGGTGTCATGGGAATTTAAAGTAATTTTGCAATCATTCTTGGGGGATAGTTTTCCTGGTTCTTAGACAAGTTGGAAGATAAACTTTGAACAATGTATTATACTATGCCCTTTGTAATTAAATAACCCAAGATAATGTGTTAAAGTTTAGTGGAGATTTAAACTCCTGAGCTGATTAAAGAGAGTTGTTAAGAATGTGTTAATATTACTCCCAGAGTTTCTAGGTATTATAGTGATGAATTGCAGGTTTCTATCGCTTATTACTTTCCAATCTTGCAGAACAGCTCAGCATTAAAAGACAAAAAGTGAGTACAATTCAACTTGAAGGCTGAGAACAGGGAACACCTTGACTTTTTGGTTGACTCTGGGCTGTGTCCCGTCCACGGAATGTGGAGCCACTAAAAGTTGTGCGGTTGTGATACTTTCTTGGAACTGCACTTCTATCTGGTGTGTGCACATAGCCTGCCACAGAGAAGCGACAGAGGCAGTTAGTCCACTGGGAGGCTACTGCAATATCCAGGCTGCGGATGTCAGAGCAGGGCTGAAAGGGAATGATGAGAAATCAAAAAAGAAAATGGTAGTGCCTGCGACCAACACTGGAAGATGACCGGACCCAATGGGGTTAGGCGAGTGAGGAAGAAAACTGAAAAAACCGCTTCGTGTTTTCCAGAGATCCGAAGTTTTCAGCAGAAGCTCCTTGACTCCTCTTTCGTCCTTAGAGCGGACGTCCTGGGACCAGCCTCAAGCTGGTCAGACCAGCAAAAGGTGCACGGGAGGCAAGACCAGCCAGAAGAATCCTCCTTCCTTCCCCGCCTCCGTATTCTGGCGTTCCTACGGGTTCCGACCCCTTCCTCCAAGCCCCTGCGAGTCCCCTGAGCTCCCCCACCCCCATCCTCCCTCGGCGGCCAGCACCGCCTCCTGCCCCTTTCCGCCCCCTCCCCTGTGGGGTGCTGACTCGCCCGGCTGCCACGTCTCACTGATGACATCACCAGGGCCTCTCGGCCTTAGCCAATCCGCTAGGGGGAGTCCGAGCAAAGTCCTAGCCAGCAAGTCAGCGGGGAGGGGATCAGGGAGGGGCGGAGGAGGGCGGTGAGAGAGTCGAGAATGGGGAGGGCGACAACCCCTCAAGTACGCATGCGCCAGAGGCGCGGAGCTTGGCGGGAAACTGAGTCCTAGCCTCCGCCCCGCACCGTCAGTTTCCAGAGCCCACATAGGCTCTAGCAACTCTCTTTCCCGGCATGCCACGCGGTGCGGCCGCCCTCTGGGCTGTGTAAAGACCCCTCGGCCTAAGGTTTTCCTATTTCCTGGTTCGCCGGCGGCCATTTTGGGTGGAAGCGATAGCTGAGTGGCGGCGGCTGCTGATTGTGTTCTAAGGGGACGGAATAGGGGAAGACGTTTGCTCTCGTGGAACAGCCTATCATTCCTCTCCTTCGATTACCCGTGGCGCGGAGAGTCAGGGCGGCGGCTGCAGCAGCAAGGGCGGCGGTGGCGGCGGCGGCAGCTGCAGTGACATGTCCAGCATGAATCCTGAATAGTGAGTGCAGGAGAGCACCGGTCGGCTGGGTCCGAGGGCCAGCTTGGGAAAGCTTAAAGGGTGCGAGGAGGGCGGGGGTGGGGGCCTCGGCCGGGGTGAGGTGAAGGTGATGGGGCAGGAGAGGCAGGCGGCCGGGAGTCGGGCCCCATTGTCTCACGGAGGTGGGGCGGCCTCGGGGAGGGGTCCGGCCGGAGGGGTGAGCCACCCGGGCCTGGACTGGGTCCGGGCGGAGGGCCTGAGTGCCGTGCTGGTGCGGAGGAACAGTCTGCTGGGAGGGGTGGGGCGTGCGGGAGTCGGTGGTGGGGTGGTGGGAAGGGTAGCTTCTCTTAGAGGCAGTGACTTTTGAAGGAGGACTTGTTTTTAAGGGGAGAGGATAGGGTGGGAGAGCTCTCCTAGAGGGCACTGTCAGTCCCTGCGCCCGTCCGCACTCTGCGGAGCTGTCAGAATCGCCCGGGTGGAAACCAGCTTTACTTGTAAATCTTGAGCTTGTTTGGCTCTCTCTCCTTCCACCCTCCCCGCCAGGTTGCAGGTAACATGGATGCTTTTCAGGACTGCGTGGGATTGGAGGGAATGAGTGGATGGTGAGAAGTGATTTAAAATCTTTTAGTTATTTTCTGGAGTTCTTTAAGAACTCGCCAGGCCCACTGCCTTCCAAAACACCTGGGCATTTGTGAGAATTTCTTTTTTTTTTTTTTTAGAGGACACTAAAGTCATTTTGTCTTGTGTAGGTCAAGAAAAAAAAATGAGTAAAACGTAGGAACATCTTTCTGGTACTACCAAATGAAAGAAAGGCTTTGCTGTCAGGTTGAAAGAGAAACGAATGGGCCCTATGATAGATCTGTAGGTTTTGTATTACCTACTTGAATGTTTGCAGATAGGGAATGAGGTTCCATGACGTGTCATGAAAAGTTAATGCATTTCTTTTTCTTGCTTACTCAAGAAGTCACCACAGCAGATGTGACACACCTGGCACTTTTCCTGGGAACTGGTGTTCACTTTCCTTGGGAAGACTTTGCTGGGCTCTCCTTAATGGCCTTAAAAAAAAAAAACACCCCTTCTACAATTTGCCCATATAAATTGATGAATAATCTGAGGAGATTTAATTGATATTCCTCTTCAGCGTCAGAAGGCCTTGGGGGAGAGGGTTAATTTTTTTTTAAAGCAAAAGTCAGTATTCTAAAGGTCTAGTTTATTTGCTGCTTTAGTCAATTACTGCTAAACATTTTCCCTGAAAGGGTCATCCATCAGTTTAGCTGACTGTCATGTGTGTGTCACATGGCTCTTGCAAAATGCATTCTGACTTCAAGTTTTGTAATACTGTGGTTTGATGCTGAAATGTCCCCTTTTTGTTTTAAACAGAAGCCATAGTTTTTATTAAAATTTTATAAACTTGAAGAAGTTGAGAATAGTGTTCTAGTAGTGCCACATTTGCTATGTTGGCAGTTTTTAAATTTCTTCACGAATGGCTCCAAGGACAAAGTTGGTTTTGCATAGTTGGACAGAGCTGATCTTGAGGTCCCTAATTGACTAGTTTTCCTGGCAATAATAAAGTACTTGGAATTGCCACTTCCTGGGGGTTTGTAAACCTTCCTTGTTCAGAAAGTTTCTTATATTTGCTACATATATTTAATACTGTAATTAGACCTCGAAGACTAGTTGAGCAGAACCATGACATTATGTAGCCTCTCAATTTGTTTCTCCTTTTGTAAAATAAGATGATATAGGAGTCATTATTCCTGTCAGGGTAGTTGTGAAGTTCAGGTGTATGTAAAAGAATTAGGAAAACTGTAAGAGTGGTGTACATTCATTACATGTAAGACATTCTAGTAGTGCTAGAATTTAGGAATAATAACCCTTACACTCCAGGAGCTTATAATGGAATATAAAAAAATAGATTGTATGTATGTTAAATACCAGTAGATATAGCAAGTTCCAGATGTGTGGTGTGGAGTGGAGCAATAAGATTTCAAAGGAGGATAGAGGGCTGTGGTTGGCTAGCTGGGTTCAGGAAGGCTTTATAGAAAGGAGACCTGTTAGGGAATTATAAGCAGTAGATTTGGAGAAGCAGAAGGGAATTGAGGAAAATTTTTCAAGGGGGAAGAAAGAAGAATGGTTAATAAGTGGCCAAGTATTGTAATTCTTAAGTAAATACAGTGCCAAATCATCCTTTCCTTTGAGTACTCTAGATGAATGACTTCAACAGGATCAAACCCAGAAATCATGTTTACATTTTTTCTGTCATTAAATATGCCAGTACCTGGCCTACTGTATTTATATTCTATATTGTGTCTAGTAAAATAATATAGGAGTTCGGGAAAACTTTGGAAAAGTATTAGTGAAATAACGAGGTTAGAGGAAATGGTGGATATTTTATTAGGGAAGGTCACAAGAGCTATGAGCAAAAAGATTTTTAGCAATCTGACTTCAGCAGTTTCCTCTTTTTGTCTTTAATGAAATTTGTTACCATCACAAAAGTAATTAGAGAAAAATTGGAAAATAAAGGAAAGAATTTTTAGTTTTATCAACCATGTATAAATTTAACTAACACCTTGTTCTAAACTTTAAAGTCGTATGTTTTTTCTTAAGTTAAAATTTTTAATGGGTGAATGCTGCCTTTCATGATTCCATAATGAGTTCTTATCCAAAGAAAAAGTTTGGTTCTCTCAGAGGGAACAGGGTTTTAGATTTATATTGCTTGACATAAGATTACCTGTTGGTAACTTTATTACTGAACGCTTTTGCCTTATGATCTTTAAGTTGTAAGCTTTCAGTTTGGGAGTGAGGAGAATAAGACACATACCAATCACTGATTATTAAATTTTAAGCTGTCCCTTTGACTGCTTTGCATGTTATTTACCTGATTTGGGAGAGTTGACAACCCTGGGTTATCTTTATGGTAGAAATTAAGGGTAATGACTGACTCACTTGAATTTCAAGTACAAATATAAAACCAAAAAAGCAACTGGAAGTGGAATCTGAACAGTTGAAAAAGTACATAGAGTCAGAGCTTTCTTTTTTCTGGAAACATGGAGAAAGATTTTGATTTTCTGAGCTCTGTGGTGAAGCAGGCAGTGATTATTTCAGCATACTGGTTAAGAAATACTTAACATTATTCTCATACCAGACACATTTTTCCTAATCCATTAGTTTCTAGTGGGATTTTTTAGTGTCAAGAAAATCATTTTGGCTGCTTCATCTATAAGGAATGTGTTAAGAATAAAGTATGTGTACCTGTTATGAGTATACTGGGTAACTACAGTAGGAATAACTATAATAGTCTACTTGAATCAACTGTGGTTCTGTAATGCAGGAAAATTGCTTAGTATTGCCCTTGTTTATAGTTTTTTGTTTTTGTTTTTAATCATGGCTCCAGATGATATTTGAGATCATGTCTCAAGATTTAATCAGTCTTTCAAACTTTGCTCTTCTATCATGGTAGACTCAAGGAACATTTGACTTATTTTTTGCCAGTATTGTGCTTTGAATAAATCTATCTTTTAAGGATTTGAAAATAAAAGCATGTTAATCAGTTCTGTTATCTGTCTGACAGTATATTTCATTAATAAGTATATCATTACCGGCTTTCATATAATTTTTAGTTAGGATTTTTTTTTATTAGAAAAGATGCTGAAAACTAAAAGTAAGTTGTCTTTTTGTTGGTTGACTTTTTTGGTGGCGTTGGCAGTGGTTTGAAAAATTCAGAAAAGTTTAAAGAAGAAAAAAATAACCAGTAATTTCACTATCCAGAATATGATTTCTTAATGCCTATAGAGAATCAACAACATATGTAATTCTTTGGGTAATGTAAGTTTCCAGTAGCTACATAGAATCTCCACAAAATGTATCTTAAGCTTTTTGTCAGTGGATGATCTTCTAGGATCATTTAAAGATAACTGAAATTTTGCATTTAAAAATTTCCTGTTTTCATTAGGATTAAGTTAAAATGAGGGATGTTGACAGTTTCTTAAATATTCCAACATATCTTTTAAAGTTTCTTTTTAAAAATGTCTTAAAGATGGAAGAACTTCAGAATCAAGCGTTCTCTTGCCAACTCTAGTTGACTTTTAAAGAGAATTTTGCTTTCTGAGTAATTTTATTTCTTGGACATTTCAGTCTTTTATTTCTTTTTAATTCTGGAAGCAGTCTTATGTGCTAACATCTTGTTATATTCACATCCTGTTAGCAATCCTTTGGCTGTGTATGTGTGTTTTCTCTTGTTAGCAACTTTTGACTGTACATATATGATGGTTTTACTATTTGCAGTTGTAGTAGTTAAGTTTCATTTTTGATTAAGAATAGCTTCTTTTTGCTAATGTTATCTACTCTTTGTCTCCTAATATGTGAAAATGTCTTAGGATTAAATAAAATGCTTTTAAAGGTTTTGAGATTTTTAAAAAAGATTTTCTAAAAAATAATTTGTTTTAAGATGAAGAGAAACTAAAAATTGGTATAGGGTGCCACTGCATGAGACATTTTAGATGTGTGGCATACCAGCTTTTTACCACTTTGTCTGAATTACATTTTGGAGTAAGAGATTTAGGCAAAATGCCCATACTTTTTTTTTTAGCCTTACAGGGAGAGCGGAGTAGTCAAGGCTAGTGCACTGTTTTCCTGTAGAAGGTGGGGCTGAGATTGCTTCTTTGATGTCTGGAATGGAATTTAGGGGCGAAAACCTAGGGCTTGGCTTTTTGGGGCGGGGAACAACCCAATGAGTGTTTCAGAATATAAAAGGATAGTGGTGGAATAATGCTTGAAAAAAAAAAAAAAAGCCCTGAAGCCCTAAGAAGCCAGAGAACAAGTGTTTGTTGGTTTGTCGACTGACTTAAACATGTGAAAAAATAGGGTACAAAGGAAAAGTAGGAAATGAAAGTTTTCCTTGGTACTTTGAGACTGGTTGGCTTAGTTAGTCAGAACAACCCCGCTTTATTAAATCCAAGGTTGTGATAGGTTCCACTTAAGTTTATTCTGTTTCATGTTTGTAGCTTTCTAATTCTGACAGG